CAAATATGTCGCTTTTACTTCAAATCTTCGCATGGAATGGTTTATACGTTTTACTTGCAAGTGTGAGTGCCGCACTTGGAATTGCAACATTATTCGCTCTTAAATACACAATAAAAAGACCTATGAGTAGCTATGGAACAACCTATGCAACCGAACAAGAATCAGTGGGCAAGCTTCTCACACCATGCGGATACGTCAGTTCCAGAGTCAAAGGCAAGGGTACATCCAAAGGATACGGCATCGAACAGCTTATCGAGTGTGGACTTAATTATGATACAATATATAACGAACAAAAATAGAATAACAACGGCACACTTAGTGGAAAACTCGATAGGCGACGAAGAATGCCATGATCTCTTTAGTGACCTTATCGATCCTGTTATCTGTGAGGTTCTTAATATTAACGAGATAAATGGATTAGAAATAAACTTGAACTGGAAGGAAATTCAAGGTGGAAAGTTTTACGGCGATAAGGTGCTCTCCTGTGGCCATGGACTGAGCACTAATCGAAATATAAAAGGATTCAGTATGATTCTCAGATGTTCAACTGCATAGTTATTAGATGCTAGTCACTTAATAGCGGAAAGTTTAACTTCTGTTAATAGTAAGAATTTAATTCTATGTTACATTGAGCTACAGAATGGCTCCATCATCCCCCTCCCCGCACAACCGAGCCATTTAAGTCGGTATTTCTAGGATCTGAGTACCTAGGGTGGGGTACGTAATTGTCACCAAAGGTCTGCCCGAAGCTGAATTTTTTGTCCTAACGTAGGGATTTCACATTTTCTTCTTTTTTCAGAAAAGCATCATATACAGTAAAAACCCGCGTGTAAGAACTTATATATCTTAAGTGCTTGAATTTCCGACATCCCTTGGAGTCGCATACTCCCCAAAAGAAGTGTCTGAAAAACTCAACCATCTTAAGCTAGTGTAACTTCTTTGACAGACAAGTTTGAACGCTGCTACCTCTCGTCATCAAAGCAATACAGCAAGCTTGCCTTGGATGCCTTTGCCGGCTTCAACCCAGGACTCCTTACAACCACAACTATCACGTGACATGCCTAGAGGGCGCTTTATTTGGATCACTGCAGACCAACAGTGCCGCATTTTTGTAAATTACTTTGATCATTTGAAACTTAATGTTACGCAGCCAGGAGGCAATTCAACATCCTTAAAGCATTTAGAAGATACAGCGAGTTGTTGCCGGGAGAGCGTGCATGGAAGAAAGTTTGAAACAGACAGGACAAAGGTTTGCGTGGACTTTAAAATACGGATTTTTGTCGTGTTCACCGGAAAATATTGGCACGGGTCTTGAAGTACAGGTGAAGGTTCGATTACCAAAGCTGATCAAGGTACAAAATGCTGTGTGATGAAAGTGTGATTTCCCCTTACTGAAGACAACCTTAATTTTTGTCAATTTTCCGTCTGGTAGCCTGCGTAGCTAACTGGTAGTATTTTTTATGTGTTCTTCTGTCGTGTTTCGTAAAGTGAGGTTTGGCGGTAAAAATGATGAGCTGCACTCCTTCCCGAGCTCCTTCTCTGGATCTGCTACCGTAACTATAGTAACGTTGAGCTGAGCGCGAGGTTAGCTGGTAGCCTTTCTTTGGCGGCCATCTTTTACACGCTTTTTTAATATCTTGATTCCCCCTTCCAGTCTAACATTTGAAAACGCCAACAGTTCTGTGTTCTTTCTTGTCATGTCCAGGATCCTAGATTTAAACGCATTATACATGTCCTGCCAGTGAAAAGTGAACATGGAGGTAAGAGATTTGAATAGAAAAAAAAAAGCCTTCCAGTCATTTTTCACTTTCACTAGTACAAATTTTATTCAGGGATTACTTGGGCTACTTAGGCCCCGTTTTTATGAAGAAAACCTGTCCCAGGAAGAAGGGTCACCCTCCCTGGCGGCGCGAGTCAAATTTAGCGAACCTTTGTATGATAAAAAGTCGACCCCTTTGCCCTTAACCTATTCCCGAGACAACAACGCTCGTGCATGCTCCGATTGTCTCACCTTGACCGTGTTGACCCGGCTAGGCTAGCCAAACTGTTTAGATGGTAAACAGTTCGCCCGGCCAGGAGGGTGAACCTTCCATCACAACAATAATGACCAGCGGCTGAGGGAACCACCCTTCTAGCCGAGCCAAGTTTTCGGTTCTCATAGAAAAGCCGGGTTCCCCAAGTTTGGTAAGGAAATGTAAGGAAAGTTGGATCGCTCAGTGTAGCCAGGGTAGGCGGTAACCTGTGCACAGACGTCCCCCTCCCTCAGCAAAAATCGAGGAGAGAGATTTCTCAGAGGGGAGGGGGACGTCTGTACACAGGCTAGT